AAACCTTTGCTGGCTAATGAGCCTTATGTATCTTGAAGGGCTATAGGCCCTCTGTATGTATGAAGGGACTACACTTGAAGTTTTGTTCTTTGGTACCCAAGAAAAGAGAACTTCTGCTTGTTGAAGAATCTTGTATAACTTGCAGACTCGAAATTAAATATAAGAAAGAAAAACCACTCTCTCCCAGTTTATCATCACTTCCATTCCTGGTCTCCCAGAAATGATTTACTCCCCAGAAGGGAGTGGGAAGGAGGGGGGCAAATCTGTAGAATTTGGAAATGGGAGAAATGGTTGAGAGTGAATCCCTCCACATTTAGTTCACGGTCGTGAGAATGCTCTAATACTTTGGTTCTGATCTTTGAGAGACAGCAGTCCCCCAGATGCTGATCACTTTGTGATTAATTCCAAGTGCATCATGGAGACCACATCCTTGTTCTCTCCTGCTTCAGAGCTGCTAAGAAGACTCCAGGATGCCAAGTTTGTGGTAATAACACTGTGAAACCCCATCCGTAGCAGTTTGCCCACTAATAATGCCTGGCACAGCAGCAACTGGTCCAGGCAGGAGAGCCATAAGTGGGAGCTCTGGCAGAGATGCAGGGCGGCTGTTATTCCAACTGTGCTGTCCAGCCTCGCTCAGCAGCCTACCAGGCCCTGCCCTCCCAAGCGCACAGGCCCCACTCATTCCCATTGTGCTCTAGCTGCAATCAGGAGGCACCATTTGTCGCAAAGGGCATCTATTCTACAACATATATTTTTAAAATGTTGTAGTGGTTAAGAACAGCAGACTCTACTCTGCAGATCTGGGTTTGATTCCCCACTCCTCCACATGAAGCCTGCTAGGTGACCTTGGGCCAGTCAGAACTCTCTCAGTCCCACCTACCTCACAGGGTGCCTGTTGTGGGGAGGGGAAGCGAATGCGATTGTAAGTCGTTTTGAGACTCGGGGTAGAGAAAAGCAGGGTATAAAAGCCACCTCTTCTTCTTATTAAAGTGTCATGCTAGGATCTGGGAAAACCAGGTTCGAGTCCCCATTCATGCCATGGAAGCTGGCTAGGGGACCAGGGGCCAGTCACACACTCTCAGCCTGACCTCCCTCACAGGGTTGTTATGAGGATAAAACAGAGAAGAAAGATGTAACCCACTTTGGGGGCCCATTGGGGTGAAAAGCGGGATATAAATAAATAAAAAATAAAATAAAAAAGCATACATGCACACAACTATTGGCTTAGTTTTTCAACAATCATGAAACAGGGTGGGCTAGAGGTTTGGCAGAGAAGTGTTTACATCAGCTGGCAGTAAAGGGGTCCCAGGTTTCCTCTCTCTAGAGAAAAGTCTCGTTCATCTTTGAGGATTGTTCTCCAAGTTCCCTCATTCCAGGAAGTTTAGACATCAGCTGCGCAGCGTTGGGCCTTCTCTGTGTCTCCCCCCCCCCCAATTGCAGGTACACCCCTCATGAGCTTATTCAAGGCCCATCTCATTGCAAAAGAAATTTTTGTTAGTTGGGATCGGGGACTCACTGGCTAATGCAATGTCAAGAGGTTTTGATCTTGAGTTGCTATAATTATGAGTTTTGAATAGTTTTTGTGAAATTTTATGAATTGTAAAATTTGTTGTAAGACACCTTGAACATGGAGAACGGTAAGCTAAAGATACTTAAATAAAGAACCTCAGGGCTTCTTCACAGAAGGCATACCTAATTTCCTTGGAAATCACCACTCCCTAATTCCCTGCATGCATCATCCTGAGTGAAAATCAACACAAGCTTTGATTTCATTGCAAACAACTGTGGTACAGCTTCCAAGCATGTCTATAGTACAACAGCCACTTGCATGGTTTTCACTTGTTA